AGGCACCGCCGCTTGGGGCACGACGGGAGGCGCCGACTCTGGGGGCACGACGGGAAGCACGACCGCTTGAGGCGCGACGGGAGGCACCGCCGCTTGGGGCACGACAGGAGGCGCTGACCCTGGAGACGCGACAGGGGGCACCGCCGCTTGGGGCACGACGGGGGGCGCCGACTCTGGAGACGCGACGGGAGGCACTGAGGACGAGGCGGAGGGTAGAGATAATCCCGAGAGAGCGAAGGTCTCGGCCTCCTCAAGCAGCGATGCATCGCGAAGAGTTTTTGCTTTCTTGTGATTCGTGGCGATAGCCTGAGCCTTGCGACGTTTCTTCGATGGGACTGGGTTCCCTGTCGAGGAGTCAAGAGGCTGTTCTGCTAAAGATGCCGCTGCTGAGGCGAGGAATTCGGGGCTGATACCGTCGAGGGACAGCCCATCCGTGAGAAGCTTCATATCCATCAATTCGGGGTCGATCATTGAGGTGTCGCTATCGCAGTTTGTCGAGGACGTCGGTGCTGGATTGGTGGATGCTGCGGACTGGCTCCTATTGAGACTCATCACCAGACATTCGTCTTGGGCTGTCGACATCTGCCATGAGATTTTGTACGAAGCGGTAATGAACGAACTCACACCAAGTCTCGTTGCAGAACTGTCTAAAATTCGCTATGTCTGTCTTGTGGTCCGAGTTCCAGGATGAGAATTCCAAACCCTGCTTGCATTTACCGATGGACAAACTGAAGTGCATTAGTCCGCAGTGGCTGAAGTAGCTCGACATCAACTCACTGCAGAGTATTCACCTCCCCGTTGGCACGAGGTAGTGGCCCTCCACAGGTGATACTGAAGTGCCATCCGGTCTGCTTGTGAAGGCTCTCCGCGACGCGTCGAAGGGTGTGAGGTAGATTATCAAGGTACCTAAAAGAGATCAGAAGGCGATAGGAGCAAAAATTGTTGTACTCACTCTTGAACTTGCTTTGCGTGGATCATGTCATCGTCATCCTCAGCATCAACATCGATATATCGTTGAGCATCATCTTTGAGATAACCTTTCTCACGATACTCGTCCACCAGCGCCTTCGTCTCAGCGCTAGACTCCATATACTTGTCAACCGACCACTTGTTGCGAAACGCTGCCTGCTTCTTCTTTGACCACCCAGCAGCAAGCGCTTCCTGCCACACTTCGTTGAACTCCGCCTTCACCTTGGGATCGTCATAGAAAAGACGTTGCCACGCATGGGGAAGCTTATCGATGTGTCAGTAGCTGAAGGGGGTACTCTCATGCTGAATAGCACGCACCTGCGGTTTCCTTTTTCCTTTATTTGAAAGGTCGAGCGTCCGGACACGAACGGGGGCAGCAAGGCCAGGTATGAGCAAGGCAGCAATGCGGGCCGCGTTGTTCTGAAGCCAGTTAGTCGCTTGCTATCAATCAAACCGGTGTCTGATCAGCATCGTAACGTCAATTTTAGATGAACGTCGTACCCCGAGTCGCTTTGCACGACGCTGAGCACAAGCGGCGGATTTGAACGCCTTCAACACATCTCCGCCGTTTGCAAGGATCTCGACCTCGGTAGGCATGACGGGGAATTTGCGAAGATACTGGCCCCAGACAAGTGTATAGAAAGATTTCTTATCGCTGCCAGTATTCACATAATCGACGCAGAACGTGGAGAGAAACGCCCTCTCCTCCTCGCTCCAGATGGATGAACGGGACATAGCGAGATTGTACGTGGTGCAGCTGGGGAGAGGGATACCGCAGTATATCGCGTCTCCTTGCTGGGATATTCTTCGGACCTATATACCACAAGCTACAGCTCCTCTATTCCTTCCTGGCAACCCGACAACAAACGGTTGCAGCAGCCGACAGAGTCGCTGTCTTCCGAAGTACGTGCGATCGGTCTCCCCTGCTGTTCGGCCTGGATCTGAATCAACGTCAAAGATAGCTGCCGTAGGGGAAAATAGATATGGCATCGTGCGCATCAAGTTTTGCTTGCGCGCGTCGCATATACTCTACACCACGATCGACGGCGGCATGCAGTTTGGCCGGTATCCGTAAAATCTTTCCTTTGTTTTGCTAAGAACCTCATTTCCAATGACGAGCATTTTCTGCGTTCTTCTATTATAGGTTTTTGCGTCCAACGATCCATCGCCTTTTCGCATTCTCCCTGGAACTGGCGATGACACGACGAGGTCCGTGGCAGTTTGAGACGCTGATGCTCAACCAGATGCAAGATCACCATCAGCTCAATGATTCCATGCACTATAGCATCCATCGCCTGCATGAAGCTCGCTACTTGCATGGCCAAGTCAGTCTTGATCTGTTCCGCACCGGAATCAGACGTCAAAAGCGGTAGCGACATGCTACGGCAGCTTCCGAACGTAATACATTCAGATTGCGAGGTTGACATGCCGACGTTGACGCACAGGTGCTTCGGTCTTCGTCTTGTCACCGGCATCGTGCGCAAGTTTGACGATCCGGTCCGTTGCGGTTCTTACCGTGTTCCGCCAACTTGCAATTGACTTGACAAAGCTTATAGTGGCATCCGCAACATCTCTGTCACCGACCGCAGGTTGGCAGGCTCGGCATGATGCGAGTTCTTGGTATCCTAGCTCATAATACCCATTCAGACAGTCTCTGCCGCAGCGGACTGCAGGACATCGTCGCCAGGTACTTATGGTGCATTTCCTCTCCTCAATATGGCACTCAATGCAATGCCCAACAGCAGCAACTCCCACTGAAGGCAGCAAATCGATACTATCAAGGCCCGTGTATGTTTCGGGGCTCAGCGATCGGTTGCGTTGCTGCATGCCGCGAAGACAATACATTGAGATCGTGGGGATTGTTCAGGCGCCGGCGTTAGCACCCGGGTGCTTCGTCCTCCATCACGTCACCAGCATTGTGCGTGAGTTTGACGATCCGATCCGTTGCACTTCTCGCCATGTTCCGCAGATTCCTATTGACTCTGTAAGTTTTGTGACATCTGCAGCGTCTGTGTCTGCGGCCCCAGGTTGTCAGGCTCGGCAAAATGCATCGCGGGTATCCTAGCTCATGAGACCAATTTAGCTCCGCCGCGGCGAACTTTAGGGTATCATTGACAGGTGCGTGCAATCCGTTTCCTCTCTCCGATAATGACGCTCAAGGTAAAATTCAACAACAGCTTAGAAGGCGGTAAGCTACTCGTTCGTGGTGTAACACTGAATCTGCCTGTTGTCATGCAGAATCGGTGTAAGTCCTACCGAGCGCATAAAGGTTCACCAAGAGACCCAGAGTGCTGGCACGTTAATACGGGCCCAGTCTTCCTTGCAACCCGGCCTGCCCGCTGATTCCTTTTGCGCATTCACCGCTGTCAAACATATTGCATAATGCAACGACGATGATCATCACTTTCCGCCTTGTTTGTTCCCTGTCTGAGGGACATCATCCTTCACATTCTGTTTATGGGATGTAAGTTGTCATATATGTGAAGTCGTGTGAGATTTCCATCGCACGACCTGGTGCGTGCTTCTTCGCGCTCAACCAAACAGGAGTTACGGAGTACGTCTCCTCGTGCTCTCTGTAATAGGACAAGGCACTGCTCACCGCAGGTCTTCTCCTTTGCACATCGAGGCACGTTCACCGCAACCCACAAGTCCATCCCCCCCTCGAGCGTGCGTCCTGCTTACGTGCTGTACCCTGATCCTCAGCACCCCGATCGTCCCCGAGTCATGCCATAAATCTAGCCATGCGGCAAACATCTGTCCCTTGGCGCCGTTGAGGATAAAAGGCGGCTCTATCCTTCAATTGCGATCCAGACTCAACTCTCCCCCCGTCTCACCGTTCGTTTCGAATATCTTCCAATCATGCTCAGCTCTCACGTTGACCTTACAGGTGTGCGCTTGCTAGTGAATAACATCATATCACGTTTGTATAGTTCCTGATCTATGTCGCTTGCTATGCTCATCGCCCGCGTTGTAGGCCCTCCATGGAAGAAGGGGGTTACGAGTCCATCCTCAAAGCGGCGGAAGCACATGTGCCCCGCCCGCGGAAGCCTGAGCCTCTTGCCGAATCCGCGGCACGGACACCTCCTAAGCGTCCGACTGACGCGCAATCCGTCGCGTTCGCTGCGTTGGCCTCGCTTTGTCGTCTCTGGCTCGGTATGTATCGCATTCTTCTTTGTCCGATCTCAGCTCATGCTGCGCGAACAGTGACACCTGCCCCTCGCTATAGTGTGCCTCCATGGCCATTTAGTTTCCCTCCGGCCCCTCCTCCTTCCCGGTCCCCGTCCCCCGAATACGAGCTGCTGGACGAAGCATCCCCGATTGGTCGGTTGACGACTTATTGCCTTTCCCGGCCCCTTGCGTCATTTCCGACACCGTCCGATCCGCCCTCGCAAAGCACCTCATCGCCTAGTTATTCGCCATTTCCCATGTCTGGGCTGTATAATTCACATTCATCTGCTTCCCATCGCAAGGACGGCATACCGCCACGTGATTCCTCGTCATCGTCGTCATCGTCGTAGTATATTGCTGGCTATGCGAATCGGAGCTCCGCTTCGCTTCCTCTCTCGGTCAGTGATGCCCGTACTTGAAATGATTATTTGACTTATCAGTTCCAGAGTAGTGTTGCCTTGCTGACGATCGTCTGAAGCATCTTGTATTCTTGCTCATTGACATGCAGTGCAGCTGCTGCATTGGATCGCATGGGGCTACGAGCCCAGCACGCGCCGGTTATATTGCGTTACGCTGACCAAATGGTGTCCATGGTATGACCGAGCGCTTGATAGAATACTCTCGCCACGTATATACATTAACATGACGCATATCTTCCCGTTGCCCTCGAACACTCGCACTTATGTATTATCTATTCACACAAGAGTATAAAATGTGATGCTGGGTGTACACTCTTCCATGACAATCAATAATACACGATGAATCACGCTGCTGTCGTGTAAATAATGGAGAACAGCGGAGATGGGAGTGAACGCTCGTCGGTCGCGCACATATCGCTCGCACCCTTCCTTTGCATCCCGCAACTCCACCTCCAAACCTTGCCCAGCGCGATGTGATAGCATTGGGCACACATGGTCGACCATACCCTGCACTGACGTCCCCCGCAATGAGAACAACTCCTTGACCAAGCAAGCATACCCTGTGTCCAGCCAGCCAAATATCTCGTCGTTACGCTGGAGCATACCGTTGCGAATCGGAGACGGTGTTCCTATTTCGTGTGATCAGGCAACTTTAGATAGTGGCATTCTAGGCAATCAACATACATGCAAAGTTTTCGAACATGTGTGCAGGAAGACAAGCTCGAGTTCCCATACGCCGCAAGCGGCGATTTCACCCAGTGACGATACCGGCTGCTGTCCTGCGACTGGTCCACTGTAGCTACCCCTCACATACAGATTCAAGCACCCAGGACGCATGTATCTAGAATTGAATTATGTAGTACCACAACATCAACGCCCGTACGTAGTGGCTTGACTGTCACGAACCTCGCCTTCCAGCCTCATCCTGCGCACATTCATTGCCTGAGGGGATATCCTTGTACCTTCGACCATGTTGATCATGATATATACATCATGTCCCGTCGTGCAGGATTGGAGGACGACAGCAACAAAGTGAGCACTCATTGGTCTTCCGGAGGCGCCTTGAACACATCGTCAACAGACTCTCCTTGCATCCCACACATCCATCTTTCAACCTCGTCGAGCGCGATGTGTTAGCGACGGGCACACATAGTTGACTGCGTCTTACATTGATGTCCCCTGCGATGAAGACAATCCCTCGACAAAGCGGACTTACCCTGTGTTCAACCAGCTAGTTATCCCGTCATCGTGCTGGAGCCATACCATCACAGATCGGAGACGGTTTTAATTCGGTGTGATCAGGCGAACAGCGGCATTCCAGGAAATCAACACACATCAGAAGTCTTTCGAACATGTGTGCAGGATGGCAAGCTCAAGTTTCCATACTTTGCTAGTGACAATTCCACTCGATGAGTCTTCGTGTCGTAACATCCAAGCTGACCGCTACCTTGTGTCTACTTAGTTCACAATCATCACCTTCGCATACGGTTTCAAAGGCATTGGAGCTATTATCGCTGTACTTGCAGTCCATAGTGCGTGTAGGCCAGACGTTAGGCTGTGTTATTGCGTTGACCATGATTCACATCAGATGAGATTCAGCATCACCGTCGGAGAAGAGATTGGAACGAACTTTCGAAGAAATCTAACGCCGATAAGATTCATGAAACTGTGAGATTCGATCTTCGCCGATCTGGCCAGCAAGGCGGTGCTATCGGGACTTCACCGTAGCGTTTCCAAGCTGTCTAATGTGATATACTGTATCATTATTGACCTGTGCGTTCCAATTTTACATCCCGGAGTCCTCGGGCGATGAATGGCATTCAGCGGACCCGCATCACATGGTGTCATTGCTCGTGCCCGCTGGCCGAAGTCAGCCTTCACTGGGTCTGTGACTGGATTTTTAGTTCTAAAAGTGATGAAAAAATCTGATAAAACTTTACAAACTTTATAACATTTTTAGCCCAAAAGATTCTGTAAAGATTGTAAACTGGCATATGAAATTTTACCTCACAAAAGTATGATCTAAATGTTGAAAAAATCCTGTGTCTCTTTCAAGATTTTTATAAAAGATTTCCTGCCATAAAAATCTTGAACCAGTTTATCAACCAAGCAACTATATCAAAAAAGTATTAATCTATGTTCTTAAATCTCCATATATAAATGAGCCACAGTACTTGAATATAAGAATATAAGAACTTTCTGCATATGAGTTTCAACATGAATCATAAATAAATATACAAATAAACATTTTATAGAAACATGGTTTCAAACTTTTAGAGCCAAAAATGCAAATATAAATGATGTAGAAATCATGATAAACTTATAAGATTTTTGTTTAAGACTTTTAGCCCTAAAAATGGATTAAAAATCATTAATTTGGTTTAAGATTTACTCTGTATAAAATCATGAAAAGATTTAAACAGTTTATAAGATTTTTACATCATTTTTTTGGTCTAAAAATGCAGTCACAGACCCAGTGCTTGGTATTCCTTTCCCCCGCTCTCGTTGTTATCGCAGAGGACTTTGGCCCACGTTCGTGACGAAACCACATGCCCCGCAAGCTTAAACTACCCCGATTTCTGGGGAAAGAATCCCCGAAAACAGCACCGGCAACTGCTAGAGACGTCGAGCTCAGGTTATCAGAACGGACGGGACGGCTTAACTCCACCATCACACCCGCAAAACGGACACACCAAGAATTTCTTGTGTCTCATGATACAAGTCCACTAATTTCTGCCGATGAAGGAGGTCCAACCAGCAGCTCGAAGGGTGTCGATGGCTCAAAGGATGCAGGGACGACCAAGAAGGCGCGTCAACGGAAGGCGCAGGCGACAAAGACCATTGCCGTGAGTGATCATCGCTGCATTTTGAGTAGTAGACTTGACACAGTAGTATAACAGTACCGCATGCGGCAGTGGATTGGTGAGATGCGTGCAAAATTCCTCGATGCGTTGTTGGCCCACGAGGCTTTGCCAACCGCGACGACGACCGCATGCAGTATTTGCCATCGTTCAACGGGGGAGTACCGCTGTCAAGACTGCTTGGGCGGATGCATGATGTGTAAAGATTGCACGATAGCCGCTCATAGAAAACTCCCGCTCCATCATATTGAGGTGAGTGATCGCGGAACTCAGTTTTACTCTCTAACATATTGTGCAGCGTTGGGATTACGATTGCTTCACGCCGACTTCGCTTCGCGACTTAGGGCTTGAAGTCCGGTTAGGTCACACCTCTGGCGAGTCGTGCGGTGGGGTTCACCCGGCTCACAAATCATTCCTTGTCTTCGACGCGAATGGCTACCACTCCGTTGATGTTCGATTTTGTGTTTGCTTGCCCACTCCACCATGGAAACAGCTACTCGATGTCGGCTGGTATCCAGCCTCTAGCCAGGAACCCCGCACGGCGTTTACGTTCTCATTCCTCGACACATACCACCGCCTCACGCTTCAAGGCAAAATTTCACTTCATGACTACTACTTGTCGGTCACACATAAAACAGATAACGCTGGCCTAAATGAGCAGATGGTAAGCAAGATTCTGGTGCTATACACGAATACTGATATGCCGCATCATCTCAGTCACGATACCACGAAGCCACGTTGGCCACGAGGCAATGGTCTCATCTAATGTTGCTCAAGCGATCAGCTCGTGGGCACGACCCATCAGGTATCCGCAATACATCGAAGGGAGCACTCACCGTTGCATGTCCCGCCTGTCCTCAACCGGGGTGGAACATTCCAGACGACTGGGATAAGTGTCCCCCGGAACAAAGGTTGCTCTACGTGCATCCGTGTCGCCCCTCGTAATGAATTGCATGTTTCCAGGTGGATTTATACGCTATTCATCGCGCTCGATGCGTGTTTTCGTTTGAAGAACAAGGATCGGAAAATACATGATCCAGAGCTGGGAAACGGGTGGGGATACTGCGTAGAGGAAACGTCATACCAGGAGCATCTCAAGGAGTACGTTGAGATCGAGGAGGTGAACGTTCATGATTGTCTGGTGTACCGAGCGTGTTGAACGTAAACTGATATTTGCGATAGACTACGGTTCAATGTGACTCAACCTTCAACGCGATCAAGCATATGAATTCAACTAATGGAAAGCCCGGGGTCATGTCCGTGACTGGTGTCGGCGCCGTCAAATGTGCGAGACACGCGTTCGTCCGGCCGAACGGCGTCGCCGACTTACAGAAAGGTGAAAAGTACGTATCTTTCTGCTGTATCGCAGCGAGACGCTGAACGCTTCCAGGTATGTGACCATGGACTACATCCTCTGGTCCACCCTTCTCCTCGTCGGCTGCCTCCTTCCGATCGCCATTAGCTACGACATTGCATGCCAGTGGAAGCAGAACCTCTGGAAACGACACGCCTCCCTCCCTGCCACTTTCGCAACACTTACAGGACTAGCCATACGATTCTTCATTCCGAGCATGCATATCCGCGATCATACACTGTTATGTCAGACGGAGTATAACTTTCTCCTTCACGAAAATACGGGCCTCACGCACGGAGAGACCATAGAGCAGGAATGGGCTCATATAGGTGGTGTCACCACCATCACGCGGGACATGGGCCCAGGGGCGCGTCATCACACGCTCAACGACCATTGGGGTTTCTGGAACTTCAGAAAGACTGTCGCTTTGGGTAGGTATACAGACAATATATTGATTCCGATGCTAATCCGTGATGAGGTGCATTGATGTACAAGGCTTTGATATCTGCGATGCAAGAGCGTACCCGACACCAGCGTATCTATGAAGAATACACCGCCCGATTTAGCCCGGCTCTAGTTCTCCGGTGGGTGGATATGATTCAGAAATGGGAGCTTGATCCGAAGAATCCAAACCCATACGACGAGCCCGAACAAGGTAATGATTATTTTCCTTCGAGAATTCATACCCAACTAAGACGAAATTCAGCTGTCAATGTCAGTCAGCTACGGAAAGAGTTTGCGGACCAAGACGCGCAAGAAGCCGAATCGAGGATCCCTTCGCTACATCCGACGTCCGCCAATGCGTTCATTCGGCAGGGATTCATTCTACGCGATCAACAGTGGGTTTCTCTCGTAATGTATACCACGTTTGTTGATCTTTCTGGTTGTATCAGATGGAATATCCGCTACTCGGCTCAGCAACTAAAGGCTAATGCTACGGATACAGCGAAGTCTTCGCTACAAGAGCGACGCACAGCCCTCCAGCGGAGCATCCAGAACTGGTATGATGTTCAAGATTCTTACATGCCAGTAGCTATAACACGTCGCTCTCCACGACGTGCGGAAGGAGGCGAAGAGTCCGGAGTGACAAATCGGGCCGAAGATTTGGCGATTCTGATGCCCTCCGACATCGACGTCCCTGAGCTCCGTCGTTCCGGGTGCATCGGCGACGTTATCAACAAGGAAAAACAATACGCCATGGCGCGGATGAAGGACGGCCTGATCAATGTCCGGCACTTTCTATGCATCAGATCTGCCGCACGCCGGAAGATGAAGCACTCATTGGGTGGTATGGAAGTTTGGACGCATGTTTCGATCACTGCTCACAGACTCTTAGGCCAGAAGGAAGGAACACGGTCCAAAACGCTTCTTGGTTCGGTATCAAAGAAATTACAGCAGGCCGTCAACGTGTATCGGACATCCCATGCGGCCGTCAAGATTTTGGATCCAACAGGCGACTGGGTAAAGCACTATCGACACCTGTCTGACGATGATGTCCGTGGCCCATTTCGAGATGATCAACTGGTCGAAGCGGAACGGAGGAGGACACCCTCATGGATCTGGACCGTGCCCGGCACCCAACAGAGGTCTGCGGAGATCGACGACCGTGACGCCGACGAGCACATGCGCAGCGAATGGGCCAGACAACGAGCACGATCGCGAAGATGCGCCGAGGAGATAGTATTGCTCGTGGAGGAGATGAGACGCGTGCTGACGTTTCTCCGCTCGAAGGCGACCTGGTGGGAGAAACAGCGGGGGTTACGGATGGCAGAAGATCGCGTTATGCGCGGAATTGATGCTTATGCATGCCGTCAAGCACGCATACTTACCAAACTTGGTAGCGTGTTCGCGTCGCGGTGGCTACCACTGCTCAAGATTTCAGATCTTGGAGGGCAGTGGATTGCGCAGTTTGACACCACAGATAGGCCGCCGCCAAATGCCCCATCCGGTCAGTGCTCCTGTCTATTAATACCATATGGACCTACTGACACGCTCAGTCGCCACAACCCACACTTCGACGGATGTTGCGGGACCTGTTGAGAACGGCGAGAACACGTCCACCGGACTTCCATCCTTTGAACGTCAGCCATCTGTTAGCGTTCAATGTCCGCCGCCGCTGATGTGTCTTTATTAGCCCTTGCCTTGCGTCGGTCGGAAGGCTACGAGAATGTAGATGATGAATACGTATCGGACGATGCAGATAGTGACGAGAGCGACGCAGAAGCTGATCAGGTTCCCGAGTGGGCGCGCATCGACGACGAGTAGTAACTCCGTAGCCCTCCTTGTTTGCCCTGATTTGTCAACGAAACATTGCACGATGCAACCCTTCGACGTGTAGATAATGACCGCGCTCGAAAACCTCCCTGGTGTCCCCACTTTCAAACCTCCCTAATGGCTGACGACTCGAAATCGGAGCCTTGCCACTGCATCGAAAAACCCAGACAACGTGGACCTGATGGACGTAAGCTCGGCTTGGATCAGATGATCTTGCTGATGGATCCATGCTTGGGGGCGCACTGGCAAGCAATCAAGGTCAGCGGCTACGTATGTCGACGCTTGCACAATGTTCTTCCCCTGAACACCCGCGACACGAATGTAGGACCGCATTCGCAAGCTGGCGTTCGAAAGGTTGGCTATCGGCCGCGTTTACAATGACCAGCCGTCATTTGCCCATTCGTTATTGGTCTGCCAGGTACGCTATCGCGGTAATATGTCCACTATACCCCTGATGCTCACGAATATTCAGGTTGCCGACCAATGGCAATTCCTGTGGGACTACGTGGACCTCTGGCCGCTTCGTCTATACCTTCGGTTTCTTCTCTCTGCGTACGCGGATCCTGATACGCCTACCGGCATCGCCTTGAGGCTCAGGAAAAGTCTTGACGATCATTCTGTGAAGCATGAGACTGCCTCTGCATCTACTGCCTCCACACAAAGTATCAACGATGATGATACTCTTGAGTGGGATGACCCGGAAGAACAACTTAACGTATGCTCTCCGTACATTCGTCCATTCCATCTGTTCACGAGACCGCAGGATACAACTACACGAACCTCTTCGTAAGCGGCCGCTCCATTGTCTTATGAGTACGATCGTTGGGCCACAGAGGAGGATCGCGCTGTATTCCTTCATTTCACGTATTCCATATAAACGTACTTCAATCGTGTACAATCCGGTGTGTAGTACAGAACCATAACGTGCGGTCCATTCGCTTAGGCCTCGCCAAAACCCCACATGTACCGAAGGTTGGTAAGCGGGAACGCAATCCCGTTGCTCTTGAGAGTTGAATCAAGACGAACGTCGTGATGGCGTCTGCGGTGGCCAGAGCGCGGTGGCAAAGATGGTATCGCTGGCATCTTGATGGTGGAGGAAACAGGGTTGTGCGAATGCTGGTGGATGACCGGGATGTCGCAGACACGTTGTTCGCCTTCTCGTCCCAACCATGGTCGACTTTGATCCTAACCGTCTTTCCAGACAACTTGATGGCGCTCCCAGCCCAAGACGCCTCCTCTTCCGCAGCCACCACCTCTTCGGCGATTGACCGTCTTCCGCCTCGTTGACGCCCGATCCACAGCCTTCCCCGGAATATGAGATAAGACTTTCTTGTCCGCATCCAGCTCGTCGTCCGAGTCCAAGTCATCCGCACGCCGTGAGCGCCCGAGTTTTGCATGTGTTGGGTCCAGGCAGCATTGGGAAGCTGATCGTCGACGAGAGTGCTCACCGAAGGCGAGGCCGCGGTCGATCGACGACGTATTCGAAGCGGCCTCCTCGGCCGTCACTCCGGGGCCGTAAGGCAGGCCGGCGACGTCCGAGAAACAACCTCACGGGCTTTCATGCCAGTATCGCCCGCATATCTCCCCAACACATCGGCCATACACGCGCCCACCTACTACAAAAGTGAATGTATGTTGGATAAACCATGCAAAAGCTAGGCATGAGCGGGGAGACGCACCAGAATATCCACGGGATGCCGTCGTGCCCTTCAGGTTAAACCCTATTAACAAACTTGCGAATTCCAGCGCCGGCATTGTCGTCCCGTTTTGTACTAGCTAAACACGTGCGCACGTAAGTATATGAAGTCAGAGGTCATGCTGCTATCCATTGTCCCACTGACCTGGAGCCGATGTCAAAAACCCGACGTAACTGTTCTATGTAACGATTGGATCGTAATGGTGAAGTTCGGATCGCAAGGTTGATGCTTGATGTTGTGGTATAAGCGAGACATGTTGTGTTAATAGTTATGACAAGCGTGTCGTACCAGAGAGTGGGGAAATGACGTGCTAACACAAACAGTTGTTAAGCTCTTGAAGAGCGCAGGGCAAAGCAACCTAGCCAATTGTGCGATCAGAGACGATCTGGCACGCATGGTGCTGAGCACGTACCGGATATCCTAGAGAACGTTCGTCTCGACCCTGTGCCAGCGTATCTTGCATCTCGGCTTTCCTCGAACCGTTCTCATGTCCCACATAGACTCGATTTGTCGTTGATCGCTGAGTGGTGCAGTGGATGCAAGCCAGAGACGAACCAGTAGAGTCGGGACAGAGGGGCTGACAGCGGCTGGAGTCAGATGGAGACAGCCAGAGGCACGCCCAACCAGGCGAACGGAGTCTTGAAGAGGTAATATCACGTGATCCGACGATAAGCACTCGTGTCTTCCCGCTCAGTCGGGTTCCTCGCCGTCTGCCGCGCTGCCGATCGGCTTCAATTGAAGATATTGAAACCCAGCGGTAAGCCCTCTCTTCATCCTCTTGTGAGTAAAGTTTGATATGTTGTAGACTACTTATCGTTCATAATGGCTAAGAAAATTAGACCAGCGTTGGGTGTTCGAGGAGCGGTCAAGCCGCGACCTAAGGTCGGTACTCAGTTTCTGTGCTCATTCTAGCAAGCGCTAAGTGTATCGTAGAGGAAGGGTGATACCGGAGTTTGAATAAGAGATGCTGGATCGGATAGGGTAGTGGGAATTAGTACCGGTGCCGCGTGTTCATGCCGGGACTGGGGATTCGAGGCGGCAGATCAATCATTGAATGCTTATCTTCGTCTTTGATCGTAACTGAGTGCACGTAATCAACATATCGAGAAGGTAGATACCATAATCGCCGCGAAATACCACCACGTCTTTGCGGATCGTCTTGGCAGCGCAATGGGTGCTCTTACCGTGTACTGCGCAAAGGGGCCAAAACGCCCAACCAACCCGACACCACACGCGAAATCAGACTTCAAGCGACGAACCGCTGCAGCGAGCCGCGGCCCAACAACGCACACTCGACGCGACGGAAACAGAGCGCAAACGGATCACAGAACCTGTGATGCCGCAGGAGCAGCGCCGGTGCTTGCGCAGCTAGTTTAATGTGAATGACAAACATGTACAGGAACACCAGCCCTTACCGGTGCGTGTACAATGATGAGCGTCCGCGATCCCGCTGGGGTATCTGAGTGAGGCGGTTTCTGCGCGTGAGCAAGAAGTCCACAGCTGATTGCGAATGACGTATTACTGCAGCAACTGAAGCCCTTACCAGCGTATGTACACGGAAGTTAGAAACGTTCACTTGCATTCACACAAGAGGACGACGCTGATGCAGGCACAGCTGGGATATCTGAGTGAGGTGACCGGTGGGCGTTAACGATAAATCTTGGGAGCGAGCTGCAGCACTCACCAGGGTATCTGCGAGGGGACGGAAATGGTGTGTGCCCTAATCATCGAACTAATGAGCTGACGGAAGCCGCCAAAGTGTGGACGTAGCTAGAATGTGTGACAAAGGGTCGCTGCGCGAGCATGTCTGGTTCTCGTAACAAGTGCAGCACTAACCAGGGTATATGCGAGGGATGTCTGGATGTAAGAGGCCCGTTACCGAAAGGAACGATACAGCGAAGCAGCGGCGTAGATGTAGCTGGAATATGTGATGAAGGGACCGCCGTGCGTGCACAACTCATCTTCATGAAGAATGCAACATTTACCAGAGTATATACGGGAACGGCGGGATATGTGCAGCCCTGATCTGGATGCAGCGGGTCGGCGGCGGTGTAGAGGTAGCTAAAATATATAAAAAAGCGAGTGCTGCGCATGCACGGCCCGTCCCGGGATCAGATACAGCCGTTGCCAGAGTATATGCAAGAGAATCCCGCAGGTATGCCAGCCCCATGACGGATTTGAAGAGCCGCAGTGCAGAGGCGGTGTAGGTGTAGCTGAAGTATGCCACGAAGGGAACACCGTGAATGCACGGAGGATTCCCCACAGCAGATGCAGCACTTACAAGAGTATATGCAAGAGATGGTGAAAAATATGCGAGCCAGGTGCCAAGAGTAAAGGAGGTGGCATAGGTGCAGCTGTAGTATGTGACGAAGAGAATGGCGGGTCCCCAGCGGAAACACGATACTTACTGCAGTATATGCGCGAGCGGTGGGATATATGCAGCCCCGATCTGGATGCAGCGGGTCAGCGGCGGTGTAGAAATAGCTAGAATATATAACAGAGCGAGTGCTGCGCGTGCGCGGTCCGGCCCGGGATCAGATAAAGCCGTTGCCAGAGTATATGCAAGAGAATCCCGCAGGAGGGAATGCTGCGAGGCGGGTCCCCAGCGGAAACACGGTACTTACTGCAGTATATGCGCGAGCGGCGGGATATATGCAGCCCCGATCTGGATGCAGCGGGTC